AGAGAGAGAGAGAGAGAGATTGGGGATGAGGATGAGGGTTGGGCGAAGTTAGTGTAGACGGGGAGGAAGGGAAAAGATCGCCATGTGGCATGGTCCTTTTTGTCGGTTCTATTTTTATTCCCTTTTTTTGTGTGCATGTGTGTGTGTGTGTGTGTGTATTCCCATTTTTCGTGTGCTTGTGTGTGTGTGTGTATAACCTTTATTCATTACTATTGAAACAATCTTCCGTTTTGCCGCTCAGGTAGAGAAAATTCTAATAAAATACCCTACCTTGTCGGAACAGGCCAGACTGTTGTGAGAGCCGATTAAGGCCTCTAGCCAAGCCTCTTGAGGCTTGCAAAGTTATCATTTTGTTTGGGCTGCCCCTCTAACACCAGGTTTACAACTTTACACTGATACGGCTCTCGGGCGGTGGTTCGAATTTGTGCCTGGCTTACGACACTGCATGCGCAGCCACACGGGCCTGCAAGGCCCAACCAGATGGAAATTCAGGGTTTTACAGGCCCTGTGTCGTTTAAGCCTAAAAGCCTGAAAACAAGGGCCTACAGGCCTGTGTCGTTTCAACCTGAAAGCCTGAAAACGAGGGCCTACAAGCCCTGTGTCGTTTTAGCCTAAAAGCCTGAAAACGAGGGCCTACAGGCCCTGTGTCGTTTCAGCCTAAAAGCCTGAAAAAAGAGGGCCATTTTCAGGCCCTCATAAAGTCGACCTGCCCTGAAACTTAGGCACCAAACCAGGGTTTTAGCACAGGCCATTTTTGGCCTGTTTTCAAGACAGCCTTTGTTTGAACTTCAACGCTAGGGTCTGACACCTTTTGGCATTGGCAAGAGCAACCTTCTGGACGAGTCAGCACTATATAAGACTGGCCCGCCCTGCAGGCTGCAGGGAGTCATGAGGTAGTTCATAGGGACTTCCCAGGCACTTCACGTGCAAGAAGCAGGAGGCAGTCTTCAGGATTCGGCAGCAGCACTCTGGAGGAGCGCTGCAGTAGTAGCAGTAGTGTTAGCGGTAGTCTTCAGCGCTGGGCGCTATTAGGAGCTAGAGTAGCGTTGGAGAGAGAGAAAGATGGTTTTACGTAGGCCAGGGAGACTAACCTGTGGTGCCATAGCTCCAGCTTTGTCTTCGATGTACCTGCGACAAGGTGCCACCTTCACAGGTCAGTACCGGACTGAGAGAGAGGGAGAGAGAGAGAGAGAGAGAGAGAGAGAGAGAGAGAGGGAGAGAAAGTTCTTCTTCTTCCTCTTCTAAGTCCATCTCTCCCTCACCGTCTCGCCACCTTTCTCAATATCTGCGGACTACGAGAGAGAGAGAGAGAGAGAGAGAGAGAGAGAGAGAGAGAGAGAGAGAGAGAGAGAGAGAGAGAGAGATTGGTGACTTTGGGACTTGATGACATT